AGCCCTGCCGCTCCTTATTCAACAGCACAGACGGCTAACATCGTGTCAGATGCAACTCTCCTTTCCTTGGTGGTTGAAAACTTCAGCAATCCATGAGAACGGAAAATCGCATCTTCTTTCCTACGACGGACTTGCCTTCAAGAGAGCATTCTGTCTATTGGGAGAGAGGCAAGAGACAAAAAATTAAGTGGATTAAGAAAATACTCAACCATTTTTAAATTTTCTCCCCCCCCCGCCCATCAAACAGTCTATGTATTAAAAATGAAATGAAAAGTTATTCCCTATGGGAAAACAGACTTATATGAAAAAGCCTCCTCGTCCACCCCCCCCTCTCTGTTTACTGCCCCCCCTTTTTTTTTTCGTTGGGGAAAGATGGCAGAAAAATAGATTGGGAGCGAAGAGTTTCTCCAGGAAAAGCAGCGACCCTCAATGATGGCAGCTGCTGGTCTTTTCCAACAAAACAAAAAAAAAAGGGGGGGGGGAGGGAAAGATGGGAATGAGAAACTCACCAGCCGAGACGGATTCTCGTCTCCCCCGCCGCAGGAGAGGCGATGGGGAGGATGACGCCCGCCGCCTTAAGCGTTACTTCCTGTGCCTTTCCCCCCTCCCGTCCGTCAAATAAGGGGGCGGAGCACACAGGAAGGAGGCTCGGTGGTCTCGCTTCCTCTGCTCCCCCACCCTCCCTTGGTCTTGTTCTCTCAACCGCCGCTTCGCGCGCGCGCCCGCACGCAACCGCAAACGCCCCTGGAATCTCTCCCAGCGCTTTCGCCCACACCCCACGCGGCGGCGCCTCCTCCTCCTCCTCCTACCTCTCGCTCTACCGAGGTACGCAGGCGCTCTGCCACTCCAGTTCCCTCGAGTGCGTTTTTCCCCAAGGTTTTTTTTTTTTTCCTTTCGCCGTAATTCCCTCCTTCGGTTCTAACCACCGGATATTACAACAAACAAAAGGCGGGGCAGAAAGCGAAAAGATGAAATCTCTTCCGGTTTCTCTGCGCTAGCTCGTCCTGTCGGACACCGTTCCGCCTTCGTAAAGAAGCCAATGAGAGCGCCGCCGGTCTCTCTGGCGGGTAAGGCAGGCCGGCTTTAGAACTGAGGTCAGAGGAGTGAGAGAAGAGCTGAGGGCGGGGGTGGGGGGGTAGGGGATGGCTGTGAGTGGAGACGTGAGGACGCCCTAGTATGGTTTCTCGACTACCGAAAGCCCGGGTTTGGTGGGGGGGCGGGGGAGTTATTTAGGTGCTTCCTCTGTAGCACCAAAGGACTAGGAAAGCAGGAACAGAACGTTTAAACACACCCGACTGGTGTTCTGGGCTGGGAATCTGAGACTTCATTTACTCTTCCGACGATCACTTTCTTTAAACTGAGAATGCTTGGATGAGTGCGGTTTTGTCATGACAACTTTGAGGGGAGATCTGCAGTTTAGCCCTCAGCCAGTCTGGAGCCACCTATCGTGCATTAAAATGTTGATTCAAAAGCAAGTGTCTCCTTACCTCAAAAGAGCTTTACTGGAGTAAATATAAATACAATAGGCATGAAACATTGTAACAATACTTTGGTTATGTAAAGGCTTATGTCGAGAGAAAGGAATGTCCAAAGCTACTTATTCTAGGGCAAAATTAGGGTTGTTGCTTCCATTCTTGGTCTTAAAGCAAAAATGGTAGATTACTCTTATCATCTGTTTTGCAAATTCAAAGTAGTTCCATTGCTATTTCTATTTTTTGTTGAACATGGTGTATGTATAGCTTCCCCCTTTTCACTTAATGTCCATGTGAAATTATTTCATTTTTATTTGAGAATGGAGAATGTTTGTCCTGCTTTAAAAAGTTTTTTAAAGCCCATATTTTGACTGCTAAATTTCCCAGTTTGTTCCTGAGCTTAGTTCTCTTATTAAATCCTGTTTACCCTTGCAGGTGCTAGTTTCTTATCTCCTGATCTTGAAAAACACAATTGTTTACAAGTTTCAGACTACTAAGAGATAATTAAATATTTGTTCATCTTTTTAAGTAGACTTCCTTTTATAGCTTATTCTGATTTCATAAGCATACTTTAAATATTTCATTTTCAGTTTTAACACAATTTGTTAAATTCCTGTACATAAAAGCCTCCATTTTTCATCTGTCTGCTCTCTCTGACCTGGGAATCATTCTTCCTTCTTGATGGAAAATTTTTCTTAATGAAAATTGCCATTATTGTAATAGTGATATATCATTACCAGTTTTAATTTCAAAAATCTGAATACCGTAGAGCTGCAATTTTCTCTGAACAATTTAAGGAATACACCCAACTGAGCAATATGAGATGTAAAAGAAACTTCATAAGAACAGATTGCTGGGACACAAATGAGGAAAACAAAAATCATTGTTTGCATTTAGATGGGCAATTTTTCATGTGAAGGCAGTAGAAAAAGTAACTTTTTGAATAGAAACATTATTATGCAGTTTTGTTCTAAATGTTATATATCACTTTTAGATAAAATAAAAAATGTGAAATTGGAATGGTCTTGCTGCTTCATTGTGCACTTAACATAGTTTCTTTTTCATTCAATTTTATCTAATGAATTAGTATTAATATTTCCTTAGTCATTTCGAAAAGGTTTTTTTTTTTTTACAAATTAAGTTAATCCAAATAGGTATTTAAAGCAGATCATATGGTAGCCTGATTTGAGTTGATGTCTCTGGGTTCTGTGACAAATTCATTCAGCTGCTGTAGAAATTAGATCCTTATATTAATATTGAAACTAAAATAACTGGATTATACAACTGTGCAGGGAACCAACTGAGGATCTCTTTCTTAAAAAGAAGTGAACTGATCCTGTTTGGTAATTAGTAAGAGTCAAACATATAGTTATTTAAGTTAAAGCATATTTAAGTTAAAGCATACAATTTTTATTGTCTTTTTTCCCCCTGCAATGGTGCTTCATATGCCAGTGAGGCTTCAGTCCTATAGATACTTAGTTAAATTAAGCTCCCCTAAATACAGTTGAACTCAAATCTCCAAAGGCTTGCTTAATAAGTGTATACAATATTAATATTTCTTGCACAATAGCATTAATTTTAATATTGTTTCTTTAGTAGAAATAATGCATCGTTTATCATTTTATAAAGATTGCCCACTAAAAGCAAAAAAACCTTTTAAAGCCAGTGAAATTGTTCTTTTACTTCAAAGAAAGTAAGCAGCTTATTACTAACTTATCAGATAAAGCAATTAAATTCTCCTGGCCATAAAATGTCAGTTGAGTTCTTAATTGTGGTTGTACATTATGTGATAAACTCTTTGCAGAGATTAATAGGAACACAAATCATCTTAATGTTTTGATGAAAAAGAATTTGATGACGAAAGAGAATGAAAGCAGAATTTCAAATACTGTAGTCTTAAAGTAGATGAAGCAAAAATATATTTAGACATGTTTTCTGATATTTACATTAAAAATTTCTCTTAAAGAATAGTTGGCTGGCTAAACCGGTCTTAAATAGATATTTTTTATTAATATATATATTTGTGTATGCATGCTATCTGAACTAGACTCGGCAAATGCAAAATATGTACAGTATTTCTGAGCTTTTTAATTGTACTGTAAACTAAATCTTCACATGATTTCTCAAGAGTTAATCCTTCTAAGCTCCTATTAAGGGTATTTGGGACTGTACTCTTAGTAATGCAATCATATTAAGATTGAGATGTGTAACAATTAGGCTCAATTGTGTTGCTATAATTGAAAACACAGAATATATTCTATATTGTACCATGAAGTTAAGGTTATATTTTTTACTATATACTATACTATATTTCTATATTGTTAAACTTTGATGAGCTTGAATGCTACCTCTGCAAGAGTTAGATTTATATTTGGAAGGACAGAAAATTTTACACATGAAATGTATTAGTTGGAAAAGTGAAAAATGTGTGAGATTTTAAAAATATGTGAGACAGCTTATTAAAGTCAGAATCAATATCATATTAATATATATTCATTATTGTACTTCAGTATGCACACATCAATGTATTAAAATGAGCCATTATAGTTGGTCAGTGCTTTGAAATATAAGACAAAACTGTTTCAGATAGCATCTGTTTTCTGTATATGCGTGTTTCCTCAGGAGGGAGAAAAGGCAGCTGTACAGTCCTCGGCAAATATGCAAATTGAACTGTATGGCCGTCATATAGAACCAAAGCACTCTTTGCCTCCAGATACAAAATAATATACAGATGTATTCTGTGGTAGGAACAGAGGGTAGATTGTAGGATCTCCTGTGCAACTTTGCTTCACATAATGTCTCTTAATTTCTTAAATCTGACAGTGGTTTTTGTTCCCCTGTTGCTGGAAAATAAAACAAGCCTGAACTATTGGATCACTTCAAATGGATCAAAGGAAGATTGTGTAGCAAATACAGTACAGAACATGCTGAGGTTCAGCTAATTAAGAGAAACAATTCCAGAGAATGAAACTACAGTAGTCATTCTTTAATGACTGGTGTTATATTCCTAATTGCTCTATTAATGTCACTGGAAATGTACCTTGATCTAGCATGAAGGACAGGTCACCTTGGCAAAGTGTGCAATGACCTGCCTGCAATTCTTATCTAAATTCTATATTACATTCCATCTTTTCATTTACACCACCAATTTCATGATTCTTATTATTGCTGATATTAAACTTTCCATTCATTAGTACAAAAGTATGAACTTGCATATTCATGTTTTTTCTGTAGATGCTATATTAAGTATAGGGAAGTAGATAAATAAGCTGGTGTGAAGCCTCATATGGATGTCTTGTTTTGATAATGCTTAAATAAAACATATTTTAATGAAGGCCCACAGGTATTTTCTACTTCTAAGCACCATTTTGGAACTGCTGTGACACATGGAATTCAGTCATATCAAACCTTAGTAGTGAGGTGTAAGTGCAGAAGACACTACTACTACTACTACTATTACTACATTTCTATTTCTACTAAAACTGGAGCTAGGCCAAGTGAAATATTTCAGCTAAAAGCATTAGAACAGCTTATTTTGTTTCAAGACAGTTCTGCATTATATAAAGCCAGGATTAACTGTTGTTTGATAGCTCTTTCTGGCCCTACTTGCCTATCTTCCCTATGTATGTATGCTTGACACTGTCCAATGTAGTTTCCCTTTTAGAAATCATGCTAAGACTTCTGGATCTTAATTGTGTATGTGCTTATACTTCCTTAATAGGTCTTCCCATCAATTTTCTCAGAAAGTGAACCAACCACTATGAAGCTAATTATACTCTATTTTAAAACTTGAATTCCAAGATGTGTGTTTAAACATTCTTGCAAGTGACTTCAGTAAAAGCACTAATACTAGTAGATATTTTTAATATCATACAATATTTTAAAACTTTTATAATGCACAAACCTCCCAAAAACAGCTAGAGACTCTAAAGTCAAAATATTAATTAATGGAACAAGTAAAAATAGTTGGCCTCCCTCTATTGAAATAACATTAAACAAGAGAAACCAAAATGGGAACTGCCTAAATTCTCAAAGAGCTGTCTTTTTACATATAAACTAAAACAATAGAATTTTAGGAGTTGACGGATTTAACATTGTTTCCCTATAACATATGTAATTCCAAAAAGGTATCCTATTTCATGAATGCATGTCAAAGTTTATATGTTTGAGTAAACTGGTATAAGCCTTCTAATGATGATTGAGGGCCTATGTGGAGAAGCATGTAGAATTTTTGCATTTGACTACTCCCAATTTAAAATATGTGCTTTTTATTTTCCAGATTCCCTATCATAACAGTGAATTTTTACATAATTGGATATAATTCTTTTGTAAAATAGCATTTTTTCAGTTTTTGTACAGTAAGTGATTATGTTGCATATGACATGTTTATATTATATATACTTTATTCCCACCAGACTTATTTCATATCAACTTTAATCGATGATTGGTTAATCTGTTCTTGGACCTAAATTATTTTGGAATGTGTGCTGCAGCTATAGAAACAGAAGATGAGGTCCCATCACTTTTGTGGGGTTTGAATCCAATCTTTTCATCCTTTGCAAGACTATACATTAAAGACATATTAGAAATGAAAGAGTCTAAACAGGTTCCAGGTAAGTAGTGAAATTGCTATGAACTTTATAACTTTATAGCTATATAAATACCATAGCTTGTTTTACTGAAAAACCAAGCATTATTATGTTGTGGTGGATAATCTTGATTACTAATTTTCTCTATTCCTTTGGCACTTCCATTGATGTGCTGAAATCTCTTCCCTTTCATTCCAATGTTGCATTACTTTCAGAGACCTCAAACTAGAATCTTTTCATTTGTTTGGAACATAGTGAAAGAATAACTTGAATCTAATAAATTTATAACTCAACAAAAATAATTAAAGGTATCTGTAGTTATTACCAGAAAACACCAATGAATTATTTTAAATATTTTGAATTAACAGTTTTTAATCAGTAAACGTGTACATTTGATTCTGTTCTAATCTTTGTGTTTCTAAATCTTATCTGTTTCTTGAACTTTATAAGAATGAATTATCGCCTCCATTGAATCTTGGATGTAAGTCTTTCCAAAGTATTGATTAATTGCGCAACATAAGTGATGTCATGATTTTTCTAGCACTAAAAACTTTGTGTGTTGATGTAAATGGAGGTAAGGGCATGGCTTTTAATTAAATGAAGTCATTGTTTTATTTGTGTATGATTGCTATAACTACACAATCTATAATATAGACTATGCTATAGATTGTATACTTACTATACAACCAAGAAAAAATTATTGTATAACAATTTTTTGTCTTTTTGTACATGATCTTGAATAACTTAAACACTGGGGAAAACTTGAAATTTAAAAAATGTATTAGGAATGGCTCAGTCTTTCTGCCAATAATATCCTTATCTGATTTCCTATTTTCCACCATTTTTATATCTTACACAACAGCCTAAAAATAATCATTGGATACTTTTCATGCACACTTCAGAATCTTCCACCTCTACACAAATGGAATAATGAATCATACTATGAAAATAGAATGTTTTCAATTGTAATACTATATAACTATATGTGGCATTTTATAGTCATCAGTTGGGGTGGCAAGTTTGTCATCGAGATCAGAATGAATCTTTGTTTTTAAATGGCAGGAAGGAAAGTTTGTAGAATATGAAATGACTGCCATTTAAGTGAGTTCCTATTAGTCTCTATCAGTGGCATATGGAAAAGGGAATGAGGATGTCATACATGAACTGCATGCCCATAAAGAGGAATGGGGCTTCAATTACATTGCTTCATCCACCAACTTGACTTTTTTTACTCTCCCTGCAGCTATCAATAATTTATATTGTGAACTGCTATTCAAGAATAATACTTCATGTGGAAAATAGCTATTGCTGAGGAAAATTTAAGGGATAATTTTATGTGTACAAATTATGGTACACAAATAAATTGGGGTAGGATACAGATTATGATAGCAAGTTTGTCTATACCCATAAATTGTGAATCTGTGGTTTGTTTTTTATCAAACTTTAATCAAATTTCATTGTCTTTAATTACAGAATAAAATGTAAAACATTTGAATTAAATATTCCATAAGTGTCATATTCAAATCTGAATTTTGTAATCTGAAACTAATGTATTAAAATATTGTAATACCGTACTTTGATAAATTGTTTTATATCAATGATCATAACCTTTGGATTTCTTGATCAGGATATGTGAAACTATTAAAATTAACATAATGGCTAAGAATAAAAAATGTTAGTAGTATTTTGGAATCCTAACATTGTGAAAACACAATGTTTTTAAAGAACTAAATCTAGGACTTTACTATTTTCATTTTTTGTTTTTTTCTAAGGTATATTCTTTTACAACAGACATCCAATAAGACAAGTGGATATTTTTGGTATGGTGGTTCTAATAAAAGAAAAAGATTCCTTTTATATTTGTGGAGGTAATCGATAATTAAAGATTTTTGTTTTTTAGTTTTAGTTTCATTTTTAGTAGGATTAATATTATGAATATTAATCTATAATTCTGTAGAACCAATATTTCTAGAGAAATGTATATGTCTTAGTCTCTCTAGGGAGACCAGACTGGAAATCACCTCTATAGGAAAGTTAAAATTACTTATATTAAGACTGGTTAATATAGTCTGATATTCTGTATCCCTTTCTCCTCCTCCTTATAGTTCAATGATCTAGGGAGGTATCTGCCTAAGTTGCTTCTGAATATTATCTTGTTCATAACTTTGAAAAATGCTTCAAGCTCTTCTCCTAAGCAACAGATCTTGCATATTTCCATTAAGGTTATCTTCTTGCACCATGTTTAATCACTCAAAATACTGCCTGCATTAACAGTGAAAGCCTATGTACGTATACTCAGAAACAAGTCCTTTGTTTCCATCTGGAGTGTTTAATGGCACATATCAGAGTGTGATAATTGACATTTGGAGTAACCTTCAGTTTGTTAATTCACATCTCCTTCAAAACTTTTCTGACATCTTTTTAGATTTACCTCTAAGAGATGGAAAACAAAAATAAAAAAATGACCTGCCTACTTATATACTGATAATACTTCAACCTAGTTGTTTTGGTGACCAAAGCCATTGATTTCAGATAGTTGCTAAAAGGTAGAAACTTTGATCTTATGAATCAAAAGGCAAACATATTCCCCAGACACTCCTCACATTCAGTTTTGATATACCCAAATTCTTGGCTTAAAGCAAGTACTGTTTTTCAGCTTTGGAGTATGGGGTAGGAATGAAGTAATTTTCTTCTAGTACTGACTTCTGGGAATGTATAAGAAGGTATAAATATTGTATACCTAAATTAAATATGAAACTATAACGCTTGATGCCAAGAATTCACGCCTATTCAAACATATTGCAAGGAATGCAAGTATTATTCTTGCCTTGAATGTTTCTAGTAGTTCAGAAGCTCTGAGTGTGAAAGAGAGGAAATGTGACTATATTATGCATAGTTTTCTCTTTCTGATTGCCCTTTTTTCACTCTCATTGTAAACCTTCCATTTTTCATTTTGTAACCAGCTTCTTATTGCTACCCAAACAGAACTTAGCAAAAATAAGTATTTTATTGGGAATATTTACCTGTTTCCAATTACTCCTTATTCTCTCTTTCTCCACATGGTCGAACTATTTTTAGTTCATTTCTCATACTGTGTACCAATATGCCCCTCCTTGTTCTCATAGCCACAGTCAGGCTGAGTTGCCCAAAATAAGTTACAACTTCCCGTTCAGCTTAAAAATGAGCTTGTGCAGCTGGTGAGCTGAATAGCAAATGTTGCATCAGCTGCCAAGCCCAAATGATTCATGAAACCCTCCTGTTTGTGCATAGAAACTGCAAGAGAAAGAAATAGGAAGTTCTTTTTTACCTTTCTAATGAAAAATCTGTACATTTATCTTAACTTTATTTATAATGACTTCATCATCAAAGAAAAGTTTTTTTACAAGGTGTGATTCATTTCTGAATAATGCACAATTACTGGTAACTGGTAAAATGCATAGGAAAATGAAGAGACAAATCATTGCCTAGAAATGTATCCATTCTCTAGAATCACCTCTATAGTTAACAGAACACAGAAGGATGGGGGTTGCAGAATTTTCAGCAACGGTTCCTTACAGACTGAGAGTAAAATAGAAATGATCAGAAATAGAAAGCCATACATAATAGAAGCAGTCTTTCAAACCAAGGACTGCTGAACTACTAGAAAGGTTTAAGAGCAAGATTAACACTTTTCTCAGCTGCTCTTCAATATATACTCAGTTTATGAGGAGACTAGCATTAATGACATATATTACTCCACAAACAGATGTGCTCATTATACCTCAAATACTTGTTAATCTGCTTTGATATTCTTCTCTACTGCATCATTTTATAAATGCTCCAATCAATGCCAGATGAGGACTGCAAGAAGACAGAATCATTATTTATTATGACTAGAAAGATACTTTCTATATTAATTCCTATTATAATAGGAAATAGTAACCTTTAGAACGAAGAGAATTGGATGAGCGGAAGCTGGGAGAGTTTTAAACCCCAATATCATTGGATAAAATGTAAGGCTTCCGTCTTTGTGGAATCAAGGGGAAAAAATTCTATCAAAATGATCTAAATTATCACTATTCTTTTCCAGTGGATGATGGCACTGGTGTAATAAGCTGCACCTGCTGGAAAAATGCTTTAGCAGAAAAGAAAAATATGTCAGGTAATATTTGTTGCTGTTGTTTTCCTCTTTAAGGATATTCAGTATATGCTCCAGCCAAGGTTGTTTTCAGACACCTTTACAGTAACCTGTACCTTTTCATATCTTGCTTACTCATGAAAATTTGATTGTTGTAGTAGCCCTTGAGATATGGGATACTGTAGCATTGTTTCTTCTCATAATGGGGTATTTGCTTGGTTAAGTGTTGTATGTTCTTTGATGTATAAATATAGTATAGGTATTATAATACTTTATGCTATTGTTTTTATTGTAATACCATGTTTCCCCGAAAATAAGACCCTGTCTTTCCTAAACAGGAGAATGGTAATTTTTAAGTGAGAAAAAATACATATCTATAGAAACATGACTTGCATAATTGTAGTACTTGAGAAAATGTCTTTAATTTTATTGTGTTCAGTGAACATTGTTATTAATAACATAGCACCTTATGAGATGTATATATTTCTCAGCAGATTTGGAATCTCAGCCAAGTACTTTAAGTGGTCTGAATCTAAGTGACTTGATAAGAAATCTCCAAATAGCAATTCGGAAAAAAACAATTCTCGAAATTGGTGATCTAATCAGAGTCCGTGGTTGCATTCGAATTTACAGGCAACAACGGGAAATCAAGGCTTCTGTGTATTGTGAGTAATTACCTTATAGCAGAATGCATTATTATCTTTATTTTAAAGTTGCAAATTGTAATCTGAACATTTTTCAGAAAAGATTGGGGCTTTTTTGGTATGTAGTAACTCTTATATTGATGAATTTTGAATTATTTTATTTTAAATATGAAATGTAAATAATCTTTTAGCACTATTAAGCACTACTAACAATTTCAATATCTTTACATTTCTCATATCTTTTCAGATAAAGTTGATGACCCTATGTATGAAACTCAAATTTCCAGAATGCTAGAACTTCCCCGTTTATATAAGGATATTTATGATAAGCAATTCCAGTTCCCAGAAGAAACACAGTGGTCAGTGAAAGCTATATATATTGATAACTAAGTTTTGAGTTGTTAATTCATGAAAATGTGAACCCCAGTTATGACGAAACAGGCTATTTTATAGGAAGCATTGTATGGAAACAGAGGAAGAATAATGAGGAATGAATAAATATAGGATGAAATAAGGAAGAGATATCAATGAACCCAGAGTACATATTGTATTAAAGAATTCTTAGATGCATTCAGCAAAATCATCTTAAATCTGTAATGAAACTTTGGCAAATTAAAAAAAAAGTATTAAACCCTTGACTATCAGTGGGCTTTCAAGATGGCCAACACATTGAGCAAAATAAATGGACATCTTTCCTCATGCCATTTATATTCTCATTTTCAAGCCCAATTCTTGAGTTTCATATATTCCATGACACATCCCAACTAAGTCTAGTTCTTTCCAAATATATTGTGTAACTCCCATAATTTCTAATCATTCAGGTCATGTTGGAGAAGCCAGAAAAAGAGGTCAAAATAATAGTAATCGAAAATGTCAGCCACATTTTAAGCACAGATGTGCTTAGTGTACTCTGTTATCATGTGTGCTGACCTCATAACGTTATTTGTAATAATCATGCCATCCACTTCCAAAATTATATGCAGTCTTCATTTAGCCATTGTAATCCATTACAGTGAAATGGTGCTAAGCAACATGGTTCCAAAGCAAATCACATGATTGGCAGATGCTATGAAGATCACTAGATGCTACGATTTATAAATTTTAAAATAAAATAAATTTTATTTATTCTCTATTAATAGTAATCATGGTGCATCAGATGAACTGGGTTCTGTTATGAATCTGAGTAAAAAAATAAGGGATTTTCTATTGAGGAACAAAATTCCGAGCTTCTATATGCAGGAATTAGAAACAGTTGAAGATTTGGTATCATTGGCCAAACAGAATGCTGAGCAAGTGAGTAAAGTTAACTTTGTAAGAAGTTTTTCTCTTGTGAGAATTAATTAATTAATTAATTAATTAATTGAAAATGAACTAAGTATTAGGGCTAGACAAATGTTGCATATTTAAAAAAAAATAAAGTTCATATCTTTTAATGGTGTGCCAGCCTAATAATTTGTATACTCCTAGTTTTAGACCTGAGATATGACAATTAAAAACTATTTTAAAAATATAAGATGTACCCGGTTTAAGAATGAGCTCTATTTCCAAAAACTGTTCTTAAATGGAATTTGTATGTAATCTGGAACAGTATCATTGTGTACTATTGTTTAAGTATTATTGTGAAATGAATTTGGAGCATTATGTATTTAACTTGAATCACAGAGTATTTAAATTCCTCTACAATAGGCTCCATTCTTAGCTGTGGGTCATCCTTAAACCCAGTGTTTTAATCTAGGCACTTGCTTTAATGAGATTTTAATAATCAGGAGCTGGATGAAATAACTGATATTATGCATGGTTTTTAAGTGTCTTTTGATAAAAACTATTAAATATATAGACCAAACTAAAATGCAACATTATATGTTAGATTTCAACATTTAGCTTTAACTCACTGTTAATTATATTAGGGAGTATTTTAGAATTATTTTTTTACAAATAATGCCTTTTACAGTTATTTGAATAACGGGACAAAATTTTCCTGAACTTAAGGTTAATTAAGGCCCAATTTTTTTTACAAAGATGGGACATTCAGTGTAATGTTCTGTCAGCATTCTGACATCTGCTTCACATTATACTTATTCTTCCTGGGCATTTTAACTTGTTTGGAAAGAACCTTGGGGTGAGGGATTTGAGAGGCTCCAAGCCACTAACCTCTAATTGAAATCAGAATTGTTCATAAAGTAAATGCTTGTTTGAGAGTTGGACTGATTTTCAATAGCATAATGTTTCTGTTTTACATTGCACTTCTGGTTAAATAGGAATTGGTTTATAAAAAGTTCATAGTATGCAGAAAATAAGATCATGAGCCACAGAACCATGGTACAGATTGCATAAATTAATGTATGTGATGATATGCATATTTGTATCATTTGAAAATTTGGATCGAACAAACATTTAAAATCTTTTTTTGTAGTGTTATAGCAAGATATCAATGTGTTTAATTTATATCTTACAACTTTCTTTCAAGAGAATAAAAATGTTTAAGCAAGTTTTTCTTTTATTTATACTATATTTTTTTAATGTCAACCCTCAAAAATGATCACTCAATTGAAACACATACACACACACACATCCTACCAACTCCCAATCCTACCAACTATTCCTCGGTCTCAGTTGCTCATTGTTAAAATTGTGAATAATATACTTTTCAGTTTTTTAAAAATATTCTATGTTATTTTTATCCAAGCACACTAATCAGAATCAAGTTCCCTATAGAAGACAGTATTTTCCAGGTTTAGGAACATTCTTGTTATGTAAGAACATAATATAAGCAATGCTAGTTCATCTAGTACATCTGGTCTATTTTAACAGCAGCCAACCAATTGCACAAGGAAGCCCACATGTTTCCTAGCAGATGCTTTTCAGAGACAGTCACATTGCCATCAAGGCTGATTCCCATGACTTTCTTGAACAGGTCCAGCGCTTTTTTGAATGCAACCAAAATGGTTACTGTTTTTATATGAAATGTTTAGCTATCATGCATGACTAATTCTTGGTTTTTCTTGTTTCCCTTCCCTTCACTTTCTAAATCCATACTCTTTTGTTGTCTTGAATTTTCTTTTAAGGCATACTGTTTGTTGGCTTTGAGTTTCCCAGCTATATAGTACTCGCATTTAAAACTCAAATTATAGATTTATCTTCTAAAAGCATCACAGTCAACAATAAAAGTATAAAGGAGTTTGGTCTGTTGACCTTTCATGATGCATATTGAATTTCTTGAGCTTTCTGCTTCCATCGTCATTTAGAACTGCAAGGTCAGTTCCTGTGGAGACAGAATGTCTTCCTCACCTTTAATCTTCCATCCTCAGAATCAACGATTCTATTTTTCTCTGTTAGTTCTTTGTTTAAGGTTTCAATATCTTGACTAATTTGTCTTTTTTAATTTTAAACAACATACAGAAACACTCCAGATTACAGCTGAATTAATCATTTTCTTGTTATGTATTTATTTCTTGTACTCTATCAGCTGGGAAATAGCAAGAGCTCTTGCATAATCATATAATCTAATCTCAATCATCTAACTATGACATGAGAAGGAACAGAAAGAAGGAACAGTTTTCCTCTGAAGGTTCCTTATATTCCAATAGCATTCAACTTTAAAACAAAGGATTCATAAGCAATTATTTTTATCAAAGTAATGCATTGCAACATACTAGTCATCACGAAACAGCATTTGATTATGTATTTTTGTCAATTTTCAATCTGTCTCCTGTCAGTATATACCTGGAATATTGTGACTTTTTAATTAACTTTGTTTAAAGAAAACTGCACAGCATTTGGAAGATACTAATAAAGGAAGGGGGAGAGTGAACTATGTCAATTTAACCCCATGGAAAGTTGACTGAATGAAAAGCAATCTGTCTGATAGCAATCTTCAAATATTTAATAGAACAAATATACATTAGAACTATAGATGAGGAAGTTGATTAAATTACAGGAAATGTAGTGTGCAAATAATCATTAATTTATAACAGCACTTGCAACCGGAATTTCTGTCATTAAATGATACAGCCATAAACTGCAATCCCTGCAGTCCCGGTTGATGTTATTAACTGAATTTCATGGTTGTTAGGTGAGGCAGCTTAGCCAAAGTCATAACCAAAACCAGTGAGGAAGCCAACAGAAAGTTGTAAGTCTCAAGACAGAAAGCAGGCAAGTGGCTGTGGGAGAGGAAGCATGAGGGTCCATGGGAGTGTGGGCAGGGAGGGCATGAGAGGGTGTACAGAGTTGTGGTACAAGTTGGGAAGAGTGCAGAAGAGGTACAGCACAGGCCAGGGAGGGTGCTTGAGTGGTTGATGCAGCATAAGCACAGAGGGACTGGAAGAGATTGTGCAGGTTCGGGCGACTTACTCCAGCAACAGTGGAGAAGTTAAGGAAGGTTGCAAATGGCAATCATGTGATTATGAGTCACTGCAACTAGTCATAAATATGAACCAATTGCCAAGTGCCCAAAGCAAAATTATGTGATCATTGGGATGCTATGACACGGTCTGGCAGCTGAAACTCGGAGGATCAATCTTAAGCATGATTTGTTCAAATGCCGTCATAACTTCAGATGGCTGCTGAACAAATGGTTATAAGTCAAGGACTATCTGTATGTTTATTGACCAATATTTGTAGTTCTTTAAAGAGAAATAAATTTATTATGCCATACATGTCTATAGATATCACTGGGTTAATAAATTACACACTGAGCTTGGTAAATCTTATGTATTTAATATGTGTATCATAATGAAATGTATATAAAAAGAGTATATCCACTTATGCTGGGTCATGTATGCCTTGGAGTTTCATGGTCTCATGAACACTTTTCATAAGAATGAACACCATTCTGGCCTAAATCTTGGCTCACAAATGTTTTGAAAGAGCAAAGTTTATTGGTTGTAGACAATACCAAAATGATACAACTTGTCAGAGTAACATGAAGTAGAGTGTAGTACAGTTTATATATTATCTGTATGTTCTTATAACAAAACACAGATAAGAAAATATTACAGTATGATTATTGCTTTTGAGCTAAGAATTATAGAAATATTTCATTCCTCCTAATAACTAATCAAATACTATTTAGGACAGTATATAGGTTTTTACTTTTGATTACACATGCATAGTTCAGCAGAATTAATGTTTTCCTTTTTGAGTTTTCTAATCTATCTTCTATATGCTCTCCATCTAATTAACTTCCTGATACTTCTTTCCTATTCTTTCAGCCAAATCTTTAGTTAGATCAGGATAATACTGTGCAGCAGGCAAAAGTTTTAGCAGGAGTATCTGTAGGAGGTCAGACTGATGTCAGGAACATCTCAGAGTCATAAGCCCCATCCTTTTTTCCGTGTATTGCAATATTTCACACACCCAAGCTGGCAGAGCTTACAATGTAGTGGAACAACACAGCAGTTTCTGTGGATGACTATTGGATTTAGAATTTGAAGATAACATTTTAAAGTCCTCGTCAGCCATGAAGATAAGGAAACTGACCTTGAGCTAGTCCTAAATTATCTTATGGAATGACTGTTATGAACAAAAGCGGAATATGTATGCTGTTCTGAGGTTCTATTTTTAGTAAAAATCAGAACAGAACATTTTAATCCTGCCATTCCACTGCCATATCATTACCATGCTGTCCTGTGTCTTTCAGAGAATAAAAATAATGAAAACAAAGGAGTGTGGCTTGGCTCAACCATATTGTATTACGTCTTTAAGAGGGGAACATAAAGTTAAGAAAACCACAGAAGTCAGGTTTCCTAAAATGTTTCTCCTAAGCTGCTACCCATTTCTTGTATACTTTTTCTATCACTCCAAAATATTTCATGATTTACAACTCTGTTAAAGGAGCTGTCCAAGCTGAGCCTTATGCCAGTTTATATGATTTTAATTACAGCCTGACTTCAGTTATATAATTTTCAGTTATCCCAAAGGAATAATTAGGAAGCTCTTTTCTTTCCTCTGGTAAACCTTTTAGTTCATTCACTTACTGTTTCTATTATATTAATAATTCATCAGCATCTCTTTAGGTAAATTGCTTAGGCAGCAAACTTTTCTAATGTCTGAAATACTGCTAGCCGCAGTCTATTAAATCATAAGGATAAAGAGTTTATTGCTATTTAAAGGTAAGATCTTTTCACTTTTATTCCTCTAATAAGTGAAATAAACAGCCTAAACAAGCATATAAAGTGCCTCTGTACCTTCTTATGCAATTATGTTATCTACTTTTTACTCTTTTCCCATCAGACAGGTTCCAAAGCTGGTCCTTGTTCCAGACTGATTAGAAAGTCATTCATGGAAGCAATAGAGTTATTGCAGAAAGATGGTGTTCTTTTTCAAAAATCAAAGACTTCTCAAAATATGTATTATGTAAGTATTGAAGGCGTATAGTTTTCCTTGCATCCCACTATATTTACATTCAGTTATTATATGGAATATGCTGGTGGCAGGCTAATGCTACTGGCAGATGAACAGTAGAGTTTGAAAATACTGTTTTAGATTATCTGAAATAAGTAGAGTGATTAAATAGATACAAGCAGATTTAATTTCACGTGTAACTTTGGGAGATGCAGATTGGGTACATTCATTAAAAATGTGGAAGGAAAGAAATCATTTTCTCTTCCAAGTAGAAATTGGAGCTGAGTGCATATAGTAACAATAAGTAGAAATCTTGGAGTTAAATAGTATTGTTATATGCTGAGTTTATATTGGCCATATTTTAGCATAGCACTAGATAACCTGTGTACTTGACTCAGTATTTCAGAAATATTTCCTGATCTAAATAGAAAAACAAAATGAATATGGGTGGGGGAAAAATCAGTGAGAGAGGGAGTTTCAACTGTTTGTCAGCTTGCCCATTGAGTTTCCTTGTGGGAAGCTAGCAGCGAGCATTGCAATCTTTTCCTTCCTTCCTTCCTTCCTTCCTTCCTTCCTTCCTTCCTTCCTTCCTTCCTCCCTCCCTCCCTCCCTCCCTCCCTCCCTCCCTCCCTCCCTTCTTTCTGTTCCCTTCCCTTCTCTTTCCAGAAGGCCAATAAGTGGCTATTACCAGCTGGGGGAGGGAACAAGGGAGTGTGGTATGAGTGTAGGTACTGGTACTCCCATGAATTTGTGGGAAACTGTCAGGGAACATTGAAATTGAGAATCATCTGACTGTGGTTGATAGGGTCAGTGCAGCAGTGATGCTGAAGCAGCAACCCTACAGTGGTGAAGCAACCACAAATTCCCAAATTCCTTTTCTTCAGGAGTTATGGATGGGGGTCACAGTATTCTGTAAATTAGGCGGGGGGGAGGGGAAGCCCTATGATGCATAGTTTTGCCCAATTAAGAGTTAATGTCACAATCATTTTAGTAATAAATAGATGATATAAGAATCCCATGATTGTAGTTTGTAAATGATGATTTAAATTTGAATCTGAACATTTCTGATAATGGAATAAATGATAGTTTAGCACAATGTACGATGCTGGCTATAGTGTTTAAATAGGGGTTGATTTTGAATGGGAGATCTGAAAGATGAAATATCCCTGCATGATGATTACATGAAATTTTCCTTCCCATTATTATATTCTTTTGAGATGAGAATGTTGCAGTCTCTAATAAACCTAACCTTTCATTTAGCAGTTTATCCTTATATTTTAGGTTACTGAACAGGATACAGAATTGCACAAAGTAACTCTTGAAGTTATCCGAGCTGATTGTAAGAGACCAAAATGTAAGTAAGCTCACTATCTTAACTGCAAGTAGAAGTAGATATCTTATTATTTCTTATTTGTATAATTCACACAATATAAAAAGTGGAATTATTTGAAAATTCCTGCTGGAAGTTCTTTTACATATTTTCTTATAATTTTAGATACTTCTTGATTTCTGTATTAAAATATTTGTCTTTGATCAATTGTCCACACTCCTTTCTTTTACTGTCTCTTTTACTCTTCCCAAATGATTCTTTGCATTCTGTATTGATCTAAATACATTGATCCATTGTGCATTTCTAGGAGTGTAAGTGAGGCATCTTTGAAGGACATAGGAAAGCACGATACTGAAAAATCTTTCTTTATTGGAAATCTGAAATGTTAAAGTTTGAGCTCATTTAAAAAAACTTTAATGCCTTAGTAGGTCAAGGTACAAAAGAAACATACTAAAGAACAAAATTAGGAATATGTGAGAATTGCATTTTCTTTTAGGACAGGGGAGAAGAATCAAAACAAGGTGGGATAAGAATGACCTTGCATATTGTCTTTCCTCATCAGTGAGTCATAGATACTGCTCAATAGATATCTCTACCAGTCACAATGAAATGCTTATCCTATGACATTTATTATGTTTGTTGAAGAAACACACACATTTTTGCAATGTTACTTGTGCTGCTTTAAAAAAATACAAAAAAAAAAAGTCTGCCTTACTGGAATTCCCGATAGATATCCTAAGCCACAAGAATATCAAATTACTTCTTTTCCCTGAACAAAAGTTACAAAAGCCCTTACACCAAGATACAAATATTTCACACCCACCTTACAATGAACCCCACCTAAAAGCTAAGAAATAGTATTAATTATGTGATGAAAGAGCACCAACCATCTGGATGTTTTTTTTCCAAACAGCATGCTTCCCTCTCCCTATTGCCATCCATTTTTCCTCTTATTAGAAAGAAGAAATCCTAAGTGGAATGCAATTATTCCTGATTATTCACTCCTTTGTTTAAAACATAGACTTTCATGTCTGAAAGTAAAAAATACAAGAATCAGGACATGATGTTCTTCAGTTACTCATATATTCCTTACTATTAGTACTAAAAGGGAAGAATGAAAGTGCCAAACCTTTAGATGCCAGCCTTCTAACTGAATGATGGGTTCTGCAGTTGCACCAGGAAGACTATGTAAGAATTCTATTCTTTAAGAAAGAAAGGACAACAGTCCACCATTTGTAATCCCATGCTTACTTTCTATTTGCAGATGCTGAAAAAGGGTGCCACCTTCGTCACATACTCAGTTGTATTCAGCAAAGCTATAATCCTTATATCACTGAAGCTGTTGTCCGTTGTCTCCTTGATTGGTTGGAGATAAACAGTGAAGTTGTCACTACCATGGAAGAATACTATACAGTCTTTTAATCTAAGGGAATGGAAGCCTGGAGTCAAACATTATCCAGTGATCTACAATATCAAAAATTTTACTGTGTACCTGTTCAGCTATTTTTCTAATTTAGAAGATGATGCAGAATACAAATCATTTCATTTCGTGGTATTCCCAATAGATATTGTCTGAAGCATTTCTCCTTTCTCTAAGATGAAAAAGTACTAAGCAGTCATATAACATTATGTTGCAATTGCCCCCTTGTGGTTGGATAGACTTAAAAAAAAAAAACTTCGCCTTTGGACTACATAGTTAAAAAAAAAAACCAACTGCATGTACACGGAAGAGTAATTGGATTTGTTTAACTTTCTGCCAGAGATCAACAACACAAAAATAACATTCCAAAAATGAACATACAAAAAAGTGAAAATGATAAGTCAGACAAAATAAAAAAGAATAGGTAGAAGAAAAACTTGTCATAGCCAAGATATTTATTGAACAATTTGTGGATATAATTCCTCATTTAGCAAGGAGTTGTGTTCTGGACATTGTGAAGGATATCAGAGATTCCTTGTTTCAGTTCTGTGTTATATTGGCTGCCTCAAAACTTATTGAAATTAAGTATTAAATTGAGAAGCTATGCTGTTTAAAATCTAGGATCCTTTTTTCCATGCAAGTTGAAAAAAACCTAGCAGAATCAAAATGGTGTAAGAATTATCAATTTAACCCAAAATTCAAAGTGACAGTTTTACATGAACCCCCATAGAAACAGTCCAAATTCCAATTACAAGAAAGAATTGGGCATATTCTGAGGCATTTAGACAGGATTTTAAAAATGTTGATTGGATTTCTTTATTCTTACTTATTTGAAGAGGCAAAGCTAAGGATATTAATGTCAATAGGCATATGGTTATTCCATCTGCTGTCTGTAAAGTTCAAAACTGAATAAATAAGTTTGGGCCCGATTAGAACCAGATTTCTGTTGTTTCCACCACAATATAGATAATGAAAAAATGAATCCTAAAAGAGCTAGAGTCAACCACGGTATTATTTTATTTTGCAACAATGAGTTCAGCTAGCTAAACTTTCGGTTGAAAATCCTCTTTTATGTCAAGAGAGTTGACCCATGAGATTGATTCATACCAGCAATTGATGGACCCAGGTGGGTTTCAGAGGGACTGGGATATTCCTACTGGTCTGCAGCACGGTCCATCTGAAGTTTCAGTTGCCACTTGGAATAAGTGGGTGGTTGAGGCATTGGATCAGATTGCATCTATGTGATCTTTTCCCCTCTTGTGGATCCATTAGTCCCTGTAGTTCACAGAAGAGTTAAGAGAGTTGAAATGAGAGAAGAGACATATAGAGTATTGTTGGAATTCAACGGGCCAAACTCAACCAAACTGAGTCACTACTAAGACCTGCCTTGTAACAGTATGGATGGCAAAACATCAGTACCCTCTTTCCCATTTCTTACCTAAATAAGCAGAATTCAAATACTGTTTCATTTTTTCTTTCGATACTAGCATGTTTGCACATTACTCATCCATAGTAAAATAAATCATAGCTAACTGAATTACGTTTTCTAGGTTCATGTGACATACTAGACCATAAATTAACCAGACTTGCTGCTTTGCCCAACAAAGTATTGTAAAAAATAGTTGTTTGGCTTGTGGCTTGATATGTCACACAAATTCAGCCATGTTTTCACTAACTGAATTATTTTAGGAAGCCAGTGTGTAGCTAAAATAATCTACCCAGGTACAATATTGCAACGGAATAATGGAAGTATTTTAGTCAGAGTCCTTTAGGGAAGGATAACCTCTTCCTGAAAAAAGCAGCAGCAACAGCAATGATAGGTTCCTAAAATGACCACATTTTAACACTTAACATCCTTTCATAAGGTTTTCAGTAGGTAAGAGCCACGTTCCAAGTGATGCCATCGGTTGAGAGTAATTTGTTTTATCCACAAATCTGATTTTGTCACCAAAAGCCCTTTGTATGTCTTCTAAAAGCCACTGGTCGTCTACAATGTATGATCCAAAGTGAAAAAAAACCCCTTCAAGTCTGTTGTCGGACTGTATGGAAGATAGATTTCCTAAATAAAGATTCAGATTTTTTTCTTAAAATATTTAAATTTTTAATACTTAACTTTTAAATTACTAAGTATTTTCTTCTTTAATATTTACCATAGCATCTAATAATCGGGAAGTTTAATTTCCCTTTCTTTTGTAATATAGCTTCAGGGATGTTCATAAAAACAATTTAGTCAGGTAAAAAACATTTCTGCTATTCTGAAATCAAGTTGTGTCTCCATTTCATTATCTTGTAACTTGATGGCAAAAGCACAATGTCATGCACTTTTATTCTTCCATAGAAATTGAATTCTCATGGAATGTAATGATAATCTCTTTTATGAGTTGATAATTATCTTAACGAAAACAAAAGTAACCTAACTTGCAAATATGTATATTGCCACAGTGTGGTGCTGTTGAAACAAACTTGGAAAACTTATATTTAATACAGGAGTTTCTTTATATATATCATGGAACTTATATTTTGTAATAAAGTTTCTTTACATATTTAAATGTTTAATTTTTTTAAATACATATTTAAATTTAAGGTGATTTTCCATGTTCAAAATGAGACCTGTATGTACTTCATGACTGAGAAAGATATGCTTCTTGAAACTTTAGTTACTATATTTTAAAAAACTGGCTAGTATTTTTTTTAATTTCCTTTTGCAAAAGCATACTGCGAAGAGCTTTAATATATTTAGGCTATATCTTTCTACAAAACTGCATTTTCGGTATTGATTTTTTTCTAGTCTGGTTTTTGAATTTGTATTTTATGTATGTAGATATAGTGGATATACCTCTGTGAAAATGCCAGGTTTATGAGATGTAAAAAAAAAATCTGACCAAAATAAATAACTTCAAAAGTCTGTCCATCTTTAATATAACATATAAACTGTAAAATCCAGTTTATAGAAAGATATGAGTCTTACTAGAGAGATACTATGACCCCTTGTATTGTATCTGTTTTTTATTGTTTTTTATTTATTATTTAAATTTGTTTGCCACCCATCTCACCATGAGGTGATTTTTCATACTTTCATAAAATAATACAGTGGAGGCCTGGCTGTTCTTATTTTCCATCATATCCTGATTAAATTCTCAATTTGCAATTTGCAATAGAGCTGGATTAAATCAATATATTCTTCCCTATGGATACTTTCATATACAATCTATCATTTTCTCTTCCTCAATAAAATAAAACAGTAAAACAATTTTGCAAATTCCTTCAGAACCGAGACTTTAATTCATTTCATTTTAATTTGATGTAAATACTTGGCTAACCTTTCTCTTAAACTTTGGATATTAGACCCCTTTCCCATCTATATTTAATATCTATATTATAGATATTAAATAAGATGTTTAATATCTATATTTATATTTATTAAATATAAATATCTATTATATTTATATATCTATAAAACCCAATCACTGTGACAGGTGCAAAAGATTGGGAAAGGAGAGGATAGACTAACATTATTAATTCTATTAAAAGCCGAATAAAAATATTTTGTTGGGTTTAACTTCCTGTTTGTTGAAATAAGATATTGAGGGGTATAAGCTGATAGTTCATAATTTTGTATTCCATGAAAGGTAACTTTATATTAGCCAATTTTAATCTAACTGAGTTATACATTCAGTTAATCTACACTCTTCTGAATAGACAAATGCTGTAACTTTACTCGTGACGACTTGCATTTTAAATTATATATTTCTGTATTGGCCTTGGAAGCTTAGACTGGGATTCAATTTGATGCCATACAAAATATGCTCCAATTATTTATATGCTTGCAATTAAATTAAATAAAAAATAGCTAGTTTATAGTCTATAAAAGGTCTATAACCTTTTTTTAAAAAAAGTAGCCATGGCGTAAGAATTGGGACAAAACAAAATATATTTTGGAGGATACAATGCCTATGTTCATACAAAACACTAAACCATACACCGCTATTAAAAAAAACTAGTTTGCTGTGTTTATACAATATGATTGATTCTTAAAACAGCCAAAGAATCAAACCAATTTCTGGCTTAAACTGATACATACCAAGTGGGTTGTTCAGTTTTTGTTGTTATTGTGAATTGTACATAAAACTTTTGTTGGTTATTTCTAAATTGTTTTTTGACACTTTCAATTATTTCCTTCCTGAGCCAGATATAAAGGAGGTGCTTATCCTTGATTTACCACTGATTTAATGACATTTCAGAGTCATGATGGCCTTGGAAAGTAGGCTTTGCAGCCTGGCCATCATAAGATGTAGTGCCAAACCCCCAATATCATTTATTAGTTCAATTTATATTTATTAGTTCAATTTATATGCCGCCTTTCTCCGAAGACTCAGGGCGGCTTACAATGCACTTATAGCAATAGCCTTCATTCTTTTGTATATACCTGCTTATTAGGGCTTTTGGCCCCCCCATAAGCGGTGTTTCTACAAGTCAGTTTATTGCCCCCACAATCCGGGTCCTCAATTTACCTACCTCAGAAGGATGGAAGGCTGAGTCAACCTTGAGCCTGGTGAGATTTGAACTCACTAATTACAGGCAGCTGGCAGCTAAGTGCTACATAACAGCACTTAGTCCGCTGTACCCCAAGGCTCTTGGTGAAATCATGACTCCATTTCAGGTGCTTGGCAATTGGTTCACATTTATGACTGTTTGCAGCATAACTGCAGTCACATGACCATGATTTACAATGCTTTTCTCCAGCAAAAAAAATGCCCATTTGGGAGAATGGATTTAGTTTTAAGACACTGTGATTTGGATTAATGACTGTGTGATTTGATTAATGATTTCCATAAATAGTAAAACGAGACTTATGACTGTTAGGATTTATGAATGACGATCCTGTCCCAATTGCAGTTGGGTACAAGGACTATCTGTTTGAGTTATCTTTGCTGTGGTGTCTTACAATATGTTTCTTTATGTCACCACTCTCTCTTAGGACATGCTCAAATGAGTTGTGAAAAGGATAGACAAAATAGCCTAGAGACATCTCAACAGTCTTGAAGGCAAATCTTCCCCATCCCCATGCAATGCTCTGATTGGTGGAAGTTTAAACTCCTGGATGGTGACTCTGTAAAGGGAATGGCAATGAAGCCAGAAGAGAAAAACAATAATCTTGCCTGTAATAAGTGTCATATTCATAGAGCAGGACAATGACCCAGAAACAATGAGGCAGGATATGATAGGGTTGGGATAAAAATGGCAAATATTATGTCAGAACCATTTAGCACCATCTCTTGATGGGTAAATAGCATTTTAACTTGGTGGTGGGAGAAATGCTCTAAGACAGCATTTGGCACCTAACTAAATATTTATAATTATTTCTGCATATTAAATTTTACTTCTTTATAGTTTTCTTTATTGCTTTTTCCTCTAAGAAGGTCTAGATTTTTATAGCATAGCAAATATATCTTGAAGATCAGAGGACTTTCTATGAGGTAGATCATACAATAGCTTATCCCCCCCAGGGAAAAAAACTATGCAGATGATATACAAGTTACAACGGCACTGAAAAAGTGATTTACGAATGTTTTTCACACTTATGACCATTGCAGCATCCCCATGTTCACATGATCAAAATTCAGATGCTTGGCAATTGGTTCATATCTGACGGTCAAAGTGCCTATTACTATTGGTACTACCTTTACTTTCTTTTGCCACAGTTTCTATTTCTATTAGCAGATCTTTGCATTTTTGATGTTTTCTTCTCCAGTTCCTTCTCATCCATTCTGCTTTTTCTATGTACTGCCATGTCCACTATACAGTCTTTTTGTCTTTTGTATTGACGGTCGTTAAGTCTGGGGTGTTTTTGTAATCAATCCATTCAAATTGGTCTTCCTTTTCTTGCTATTTCCAGATTCGTCTTGTCAATTGAGTTGATCTTTAGTTCTTCTGCTGTTTTGCGCAGTTACCTTTCTGGTCAGATGGAAAGAGCTTCTTTTGAAATAGATGTTTTTGGACAATATTAGCTACCACACCAATTAGCAATTTGAAAGTTGTTGGTAAGCAAGTAATGCTCCTTTTGCTGTATCTTTCATTATCAGATAGGTTTTGTCAGATGTTAGCTACTCTACAATTTCATCTCCTTGCAGTATATAGTTAAACGGCTTGCAATAGTGAGCATAGACCAGGCAAAAGTTTCAACCAAAATCCATGCAGTTCTTTACCTGGAGCTCATCAATTCTTTATTTTTCTTGTTCTTTTGTCTACCATTTCTGCTGTTACTACAAGTTCTTTCATTTAGTATTATTAAATGTATTTGCAACTCATTTCATGGTTCAAGGTGACTCTGAATGTAATTAAATATACAAATATCCAATTATAAATATACAGATTAAATTACAATGAATTAAAATGAATTAAAAAAACCATAATATATGCCGCCCTTTTCCGGAGACTCAGGGCAGCTTACAATGCGTTAAGCATACTTTCATACTTTTGTATATTTTATACAGAGTCAGTTTATTGCCCCCACAAACCGGGTCCTCATTTTACCCACCTTAGAAAGGATGGAAGGCTGAGTCGACCTTGAGCCTGGTGAGAATTGAACTCGCAGTAATTGCAGGCAGCTGGATGTTAAATGCTGCCTTAGTAGGAGGCATTAGCCTCCTACGCCATTCAGGCTCATATTTGTGTGCAGTTGTCTCATCCTGCAGTCACATGATCATGATGTGCACCCTTCTCAGCTGGTTTCTAATAAGTAAAGTCAATGAGAGAAATTGGATTCACTTCATCATGTGATACACTGGTGACTTAACAATTGCAATAAACATGATTGTAAAATTGGCTTTGGTCTGTGATGACTTAATGACTGCATCATTGTTATAAGATGTGTGTGTGTGTGTGTGTGTGTGTGTGTGTGTGTGTAGAGCATTACTTATATTTCTTAGTTATGAATGTGGGTATGTTGAATAGCAGTTTAGCAAGGCATAATCTATCTTTTAACATTCCTGATGTAACAAAGCTATTGCTAATAAATGAGAGACTCCAAGTAATGTACAACTTATTTAATAGCATCTACCTACTAAAAAAGGTAGGGAGAAAACAGCTTCTGAGTGGACTGTTTAATGGGAGCATGAGGAAAGATCTTGATGTCTGCTTCAGGCACTGGAATTCCCTTTTTTCTTGTCTTTCAGCCAGTAGGCAAAGGCTTGTTTATTCCTGCTTTTGGTATTTAAACCAATTGTAAAAATGGATCTAACTGATGAGGAAATAAACTGGAGATTCTTTGTAATCTTGTATTCATTCTATTGATTTTTTAATTCATCTGTATATGGGAAGCATCTATACCCCATTCTTCAGCCTACAAGGCCCACTGAAAAGTTTACAGAGTCAGTGGAAAGAAAGAAAACCTAAACCAAACAGTTCCTGGCCACAAGATCTAAAAAAATATAACATGAAAGGGGAAAAAAAAAAAAAAAGAACGGGAAGGGCAGAAAAGCACAAGCTCAGGCATCTAGGCTCCTCCTCCTATAAGCCATAAAATTATGGTTGCATGCAATTTAGGGAGAGGATGAGCTTAACAGAGAACAGTTGATGAAAGGGATTTGCTTCCCATCTCATTTTCTGATGCAAACTGATAAAAAGGCTGCCAGTTGAACTAAGCCCAATTTTAGAGAATGTCCAAGCAAATTTGGCCTATGCTGCAGCCTACCTAGCAAGTATACATGGGCTGGAAAGTCACTGGCTCATCAGAAATTGCTGAACTTCAACTCCCTCCTGCCCCAGCTAGTTGATGGCATGTTGGGCATTTTAATTCAGTAATATTTGCAGGGCCACAGATTCCCCATTCCACTCAAATAAATGGCTTATGGCCATTGGAAAATATCATCCAACGTTTTGGCACCCACTAGCTTGTGGTTCTTGAATTCTCTCATGTCATGGGTAAATCTTCTGGATATGTATTTGGAATTTTATCTGATTGATTTCTATAACCGCCCATCTCGGCAAACAACGCTCCTTTTTGCTTCATGGGACCCTTTGGAGCAGAAGACCCGGTCTGCACTCCACAGCATGAGCAGCAGCTTCTGTCATCAAAAATATGCTTTGAAATCTCTAAGTCACATCTAGCCTGTCTCATTGTCTAGAGCAGATCACCACCAGGGACTTTTAAATCCGGAGCCCTAGGTGGGCAGTCTACCTGCATATGGCTGCATTTAGGATACCGGATTGGGTAAATTCATTGAGGGAGGGGGAGAAGGAGAGAGAAAGGGGGGGGTGCTTTTGAGAGAAACTGGCTAGAATGTATTCAGGCCAACCAGACTATTACTCTTATGCGCCCTATAATGGGATTATATTGCCCTTTAGTGCAATATAATCGAGACCCTCTTGGTTTCTTGTGCACTTTGGAGAGCGCCCAGTAGGGAAGGAGAAAAAAAAAAGAGCATCCGAGGTGGGTTTCTTTTAAATTGCATAAAGGAGAATCCGAGACATTCCGGCCCCTCTCTCTTTTCTACCACACAGCCGCCGTCTCACTTTTTCTCTTGTCGCCAGGCAGCTTGAGGGAGGGATCGGGGGGGGAGGGGGAGAGGAGAAGAGGCGAGCGCCTGAAATGCCAGCTTCTTTCCTCTTTCCTCCTCCTGTCCGTGCCAAACCTTTGCCGGCCGACCAGTCGCTCTAAGTGGCCGCCGCCCAGCTCAGCTTCCCTCGGGCTTTGGGCGTGGAGAGGTGATCGGCCCCCTCCCCGTTCCGCTCTCCTGCCGGTGGGCAGTGCCGTCCTCTCCTCCTCCTCTGTTGGCAAACAGCCGGCCCTCCTGCTCAGCCAGCCCCGCCCCCCGGCCCCTCGCCTCGCCGCCAAGACGACGGCAGCGGGAATCCGGAGGCGAGCTGAGGAAGGGAGCCGCGCACTCGCTCGCCTCCCCATCCAAACCAGCCCCGCCGTATCTTCTGCCGGCCTGCCCCTTTCTTCCCTTTCCGCCCCCCAGGCAGTCGGGGCTGCAGCGGGAAGCATTGTCAAAGAACAGCCGCTGTCAGACAAGGAGCTGGGGCCGAGGATAACTGCACGGCGGCGATTCACTCCGGTGTAGGGCGGGAGGGGGCAAGAGGAGGGGCAAGAGGCAGGCAGGCAGGCAGGGAGAGCTAATAAGAGGAGCGGACACGCATGCATGTAAGCACACACACACACACACAATACACACAATACACACAAACGCAGCACGCGAGATTTGTGTAAGGGGGTGTGCAGGACTTGATCCTTTCTCAGAGCTGAACTCCTCCCCGCCGCCCGTCCGCTCCAATGCGGTCCGGACGAGAAGAGTTTCTTTCCACCAGGATGAAATATTGGAAGTAACTGAAGACAATTCAGATTTTCCTGCATAGGACGGAGAAGAGTTTGAAGTGCGCGTGTGTGCCTGCGCTTGCGGGTCGCGCTGGTGTACGGCCGTATTTAGGTCGTTTCCCGCGTGATTTTTTTTTTTAAAAAAGGAAAACAAGTATTCGGGAAACCTAAGTCGGAGGTGTTTCGTTTGTCCTTTTTGTACAAGCAAGGGAAAGAAAGCTAGGCTGAGGGCAGAGGAGGCTCTGTTTTCCTAGGAAATCCTCCTTGAGTGCCGAGGAACCAAAGAATAAGCGCAGTCATCATAATACAAGGATACATCTGGACTGTGTTTGCGTTTCCTGGTTTTCCTGGGGACGAAGATGCTGTCCTACACTGTGCTGGATGCTAATGTGGTGGACGTGGAAAAAAGGCGAAATCCTTCCAAGCACTATGTGAGTACAGGATGAATAATGCTTGCAGTGAGGCCTTGGTGCCTATTAGTACAAAACGCTGCGGGTCCTGACAAGGGGAAAGAAGCCTTTTACCGATTTGGCTATTGGGTTTATTACTACACTGAGCCAGATAGAATTTGAGAAGGGAGGCAGGTGGGAGAGGGTTCACTTGGCATGTGTTCCTTCCCCTTTGCAAACTTGTCTTGGCAGTACCTTTGGTATGGCAAAGAGGATAGCAAAAGGGGTTTGCTTGTTTTTTTTGGCAGTCATCTCTCTGGAGTATGTCTCATGTGATGAGAGAACCTGAGAACTGGACATCAGAAACTTATGGAACACGTGGGGGTAAAAGCCTCTCCAATGGAATCGGCATAAGCCAAATGGGTATAAGTGTAAAATGAGACCACTTGTGGTGTCATTTAAAATGGGAATTGGAATCTGTATGAAATCCTTTGCTACAGTACTTCAGCTGAGGATGCTAGGAACTGGCATGACTGGTTGGTGTAGGTCACATTGCTCAACCTTGGCAACTTTAAGATGTATGGGCATTGATTCCCAGAATTCCCCGGGCAGAATGCTGGCTGGGGTGTTCTTGGAGTTGAAGTCCACACATTTTAAAGTTGCCAAGGTTGAGAAACACTGGTAGGAATTGTTGAAATATTCTTTTGCATCCATGACTTTTCTTATTGGCAGGGCCACCATAAATCAAAAGAGCCTTTTAGACTGACCATTAATTGCTGTTCCTATAGAATCATATGAAGTGCATCTGGCACTTTTATACCAATTTACTGTATTTCACCCAACTTCACAGCTGTAACCTCATTGTGCATTTAGTACAATGCCCTTAGGTTCTCTTTGTTCTCTATTTGTGAAACATTTTTTGTAACTCTGTTCTTCTGGAATTCAATGTACGTTTGCTTGGACACTTACTTCAGCCGCACAAATCAGCAATCAAAAAGGCATGTTGTCTGACATAAATTAAGAAGCATAATTTCTGTAATTTTCCAAAGTGAGTATCCTAGTTTTTCAGTCAGCCTGTAGTTACTAAATGCCATTGCTGGACTTTCTAATGGGGATCTAAGCGATGATGATGCATGAACTTAAATTCACTTTAACTGAGCCAGCTTGAGCAGTAAGCAATGGAGTGCAAGTTAGGACGTGCGTGGTACTGCTAGCATGAAACTCACTTATAGTGCAAATTGTGACTGTTCTCTTGGGTTTTCAACTGTTGAAGTTGAGGACACTGTTAAGGATATTCTTGGCCCATAACCGATGTTATGGGTTATTGAGCAGAATACCCCTTGAGTATGCACATGAAAGCGGCTGAGAGTGAATAACCACAGTTAATATACTGACACACTGAGTTGTGTTAGTCTTTTACTTTTTAGAAAAAAGTAAAGCAAAGTCCAGTAACAATCCAAGTCATACACAGATAAGGAGATAGTTAAAATATCAATTCAGGGATATTCCAAGTACAAAGTCTTCTTACCAGTTGTTGTCATTACACAATAAAACAGTTGTTCTTGAGTTTCAAACAGGAACAAGTTCAGTATTAAAACATTCAATAAATAGTAGAAAGCAACAAGTAGCAATGATCAAACAGTGATCATACAGAGAGAACAGGTAGAGAGTAACAGCAAATAAGCAGATAAAATGGTGTAGTGTCCACAAGCCATGATTCAGGCTTCCCCTTAAGTACATTGGCTACAGAGCTTAGCCAATCAGGATACAGAATGATGCAATACAGTCTTAAAGCAATATAATACCTTTTGACAAACATGTATTGCTAGTTTATATATTGCCTGACCAACTAGTTAGACAATAGCCATATCCTAACAGACACTTTGTTGAAATGTAAGACCATAAAAAAAATTGATTCCGGAATAAGTTAAGAGTCATTCAGTGATTTACATGGTGAACTAGCCAGACCTTTCCTGCAAACTCATAAGCTGTGCATGAAAACAGTTCTCCTTTCTCTTACTCTCCCCTTCAAAACCATAACATTTCAGTAACATGCTGCCCAACATATAGAGGTTTTATTTGGTAGTCATAAGTAATAAATAGCTAAATAACTGATTGTATGTTTATATTCTTCATCTCCATTTAGATTAGATGCATAATGGGCTCCAAAAGCCATGCTCCCCCATCCAAAAGCTTTGGGTTTTACCAGAATCCCTTGAAAAAAGCTGCTTACTTATAATTGATATGTGAGAGAAGTACATGGGAGAAATCAAATAAAGAATGTGTAGCTCATAATAAAATTAAAATGAATTAAATTACATCAAATTTAGGTTTCGTCCAGGGCATCCCTAATTTTTCATCCTATGACGCTTAATTTTTGTTGTGTGCCTCTCCTTAAAACCATTAAAATCAAAAATATCACTTGTCCAGACGTTACCCCAATAATAGAAATAATCACATGTTCTGTATATATAAAGCAAAACACAAGTCAGCCTCAGAAGTGAATGATAGAGATCAAAAGGCTCTATTCTCCAGGATAAATATTTCAAGTATTTCAGTTCTTTTATAGGATGGGTGGAGAGGCTTCTGTCTAACATAGCATTGGAACTGTAACTTCCAGAATTCTGGGGTTTGCATGGTTGTAGATCAGGGATGTCAAACTGGATTTCTTCGAGGGCCGGATCAGCATTGTAGTTCTTCGCAGGCCGGCCGGTGTGGGGGAGATAGGATGGACGCCTCTTGCAAGTCTTCCCCCATGCCCCATTTTGGCTGCCAGAGGCAGCATAGCCCGATCCTTTGCTATTTCCAGGCTGGCCCCACAGGCCAGATTTAAGCACCCCGCTGGCCGGATCTGGCCCACAGGCCTTGAGTTTGACATTCCTGTTGTAGATGATGCTGATCAAAGCATTTTAAATATTGTAGGTTTAATATATTGACTGGGACAGGAGAAATCGGGCCAAGTAAAGGGGTAACATTAACATTTTAATGGCCTTCCAGTTAAGTTTGGGATAACATGTATAAGGTTGTATAAGGAGGATATTCAAATTAACCATGCAAATTTTATTAGATAAAAAAGCAAGTTCTGTTGTTCATTAATTTAGCCATCATCAATGACTGTTTTATTATTTGCCATTGTATAAGCATCACTGTCTCCACTTTGAGCAATTCCTTCCCACACATCTGTCTTTCCAATTCCTTGCTAATCTTCAGGGTTCCTACACTGACTTGCAGATCACAATGTTTCATAAAGCTGATGAAGATGATAGTAGTAAAGCTTGTGCCATAATGCATAACAACAACAAATATTTACTATGACCTTTAGCCAGAAAACACTACATAGAAACAAACTTAAAATTACAGATATAAGTTAAAAGAAAGCATAAAATACAGGAAAACATACCATAATGTTGATGTAATACAAATACAGTAACAGTGGTGATCATCAAGATTAGCAATAATCTTCAGTGTAAGTGGATCACATAGAACTAATAGAGGCACAGAATTGGGCAATCTAGGAAGATATGTCAGAATCCTTGTCAGGTAGAAGAAGCAACAAATAAGCATTGTTTTTCTGACAGGTTATATACCTTTAAAAGAGGATGGATGGATTATCCAAGATGCCCTGTAAAGAGATCAAAAGAAGAGAATGTGGCTCAGGGATTCCATAGAGCTGTTCCCATAGCTGCTCTAGAAGGATGATTTTAAAAGCCAGCACACCTAGCCTAGGCGAAAGCCAGACAAATCCTGATGAATTTTTCAGAGTTAGAATGGAAAACATAAGATGATGGCACATGCCCATTTGAAAAAAAATCCACGGATTACTGGGATTGGATACTAGGTTTAGCCAGATTTGGAAATAAATATTTCAGATACACTGCTTAAGATAATGAGTGGAAATTTGTTGGTTTTTCTGCAACAGAACTAGTATGGCTATTTCTCTGCTAATTAGATTTATTCTCAGTCATTGACTGTATACTTAATTGATTGGATGGTGACCACAGTACTTTTCAAATTGAGGCACATCTGGAAAGATCAGAAGTTGCAAAGAGAATTAGACTTAAGCAATGGTACTAAATATTAAATATTACAATGGTCATTTCTGTTGCATGTGTTATGGCTGTGCGTGGCTGAGTAACTTAATTTTGTGTTGTACCTTTCGAAGTTTTTTAAAAGTATTGTGCTTTTGCTACATTTGTCCATTTAATGATGTTAGTTTCAAGGCTGATTGAATACAAACCTGTAACCATCTTTGTATATTTTCTTATGTAAAAAGTTGAAAAAAATTCATTCTGTGGTAACAATATTATCTTGATTTTATGGATATTAGACTTCTGATTGTAGAAATGCAGTCAAACAGTAGAAATCTTAGAACTTATTGAGCTGAGATATATTTCTACATAAAATGATTAATGCTGCTATAATTTAATTCGAGCTTCAGTTTCTGTTCTTTCCCTTCAAAATGCCCAGAGGATGTTCTTTGATTTCTCAAACTTCTACCATATTGCTTGATATATCAGATTGATTTTGGCAGACTGGGTTCATTACAGATGCTCTTAAAATATATACATATATTAAACAAAATGTTCAAAATTCATATATGGACCAAATGCACATGGATGTATGCCTTTTCTTCATTTCTCTACATTAGTGCCGGTTTAGTGAATCCAGCTGCTGTTATAACGCTTGCTTCAGGCTTTTTCATGTGCTCTGTTTAGTCTTTTTGAGTATCTCTGTTCCAGTGTGGAAAGCTTTTTGTCATTTTTGTTAGCTTTGGGGAAAAAAACCCCATACCTCTTCTATGGCATTCCTATTCAAGGTGAATGCTGCACAAAGGTCACTTTAAGTATATAATTGCTCATTCTTATCTCCTACTTTATCTTAGATATTAGAGAGCATACAGGGAACAACATGCTTAAATATTTGTGAATGTGAATCATGAAGAGCCACCTAAAATCTTATCATGTACCAGGAAATGTACATGTCATCAAACTTAAGAAAGTCTACATATATGTAATTTGTAGATGTTTATCTTGTGCCTCTCC